CTTTTAAGATTAGTAATATAATTACCAAGAGAATTACCATTTTTAGTCTAAATTATTTAGCTTTTGTTCCAAAAATATTTTCTTGGAAAATGAACAGATCTTTCATGCTCCACTCCAAGTTTCTCTTTATTCATGGCTAACCATCTACTTAAAACAAATTCATCTAACACCATTTCAGTAACAATTGCTTACAAATGAACAATAATTTTCTAAAAAAAATCTAAGTTAATTTGAAATTTGTCAACAAAAAAATTGATGTAGAAGATAATTTTCAAAATTAGAGAGCATTATTAAAAAAATCAATAAAAGAAATAATGAAAAATGGAACAAAATATATATAATCTTGAAAAGACATAAGCATTAAGAAAAGCAACCTTTCATAATCGGCGTTTATGTACGAAATTGTACAAATTAATAAAATAAAACGAAAAGACACAACTACAGAAATCTAACCATTGAATAAATTAATAGTTATACACGAAAATGTATAATGAATTTAAAATAAAAAATAAACAGAAAGACACAATGTTCTACTCATAGTTTTTATTATATAGAATTCTAAAGGGTACAAATGAATAGTCACAATAGTTTAGAAGAAGCATAATTCCAACAGTTGCAATGGTTTAATAAACATTAACTCAATATGTGCAATGATTGATAAAATAACCTTAATTCAATAGTTGCAATGTTTAGTAAATAAATTAATTCAAGAGTTTCAGTGGTTGGTAAAATAACCATAATCTTTAGAATTGCAATATTTAGAAAAATAACCATAAACTCAATAGTTGCAATGATTCACTAAAAACCGGTAACATTTAAAATTTCAGCATTCATTTTCCATTAAAAATCGAATCATAGATTCACTAAATAAACAATACTTACTAATAACAAACGAAAAGACATAACCATACAATATTAACCGTTTATAAAATTAGCTGTTATATAAAAAAATAGATAATTTAAAAAATATTTAGTAGAAATACACAACTGTTCATTCATAGTTTTTCAGGGAAAGTTATAATTTAAAAAATCTAAACGAAAAGACACAACCTTATAATAATAACTTTTCTTAAAAATAATTGTTATACATGCAAATGTATAATTAATAAAAAATAATATGAATAGAAAGACACAATAGTTCAATAATAGCTTTTCATATTGTTCTTCACATATTAAGGTTTTTTTGTTCTTCCTAGCCTTTTATTTTGTTTTGAAACTTTTTGTGATTTTTTTTTATTTTTTCTTTTTCAAACTAAAATCTTCATAACTTTCACATAAATTGGGTTCTTTGTTGTCTTCTTTTTCAATTCATATCCAAATCTATTAGTTGTGTTAAAGTGCATATTTAATCTCCATTATAGTTTGGCATATCATGTTTTCTGTGTCAAATCAATTATATAATTGTCTCATATTTTTTAGATAATGAGCGGATGGTATATCCTTCAATTCAAATTCTTCTTTATTTATGGCTGAATAATTTTTTCTTTAAAAAAAATAAAATATAACTAAAAACTCATAAGATAAAATAAAATATTGCCTTTTAAGATTAGTTAATTACCATTTTTTGTTTAGTCCTAATTTTTTAGCTTTTGTTCAAATAATATTTTCTTGGGAAATGAGCCCATTTTCCACCTTTCATTTCAAGTTTTTCTTTATTCATGACTAACCATTTACTAAAAAAACTTTCTTGTAACACCATTTCTTTAAAAATTTCTTGCAAATGAACCATGTTTTTGTTTAAGAAATTTTAAGTTAATTTGAAATTTATCAACAATAAATTGATATATAAGATGTTGTTTAAGTAAAAGAGCATGAAAAGAAAAAAATTTCAATAAAATAAATAATAAACAATGAACAAAATATATACAATTTTAAAAAGACATAAATATTCAGAGAAGCAGCCGTTGATAATCAGTAGTTATGTACGAAATGGTACAATTAATAAAATAAAATGAAAAGACACAACCGTAAAATTGTAACATTTGAATAAATTAACATTTATAAATAAAAAGAAAAAATCGCATAAAAAATCTTTAAAATGGCAGCTACTGATTTAAACCTCTAGAGTTTTATACTAGCACTATAAACCCTCAATGCAAAACTTTTAACATAAAAAACCTTCAACATGGATTCCAAGTATGCAACACCAATTTTTTAAACAGAATAATTAACTCCGTTGGAAAATAAATTTCTTAAAAAATCAAAATTTTCCATTATAATATTCTTTTCACAAAACCCCTAAATCGATTTAGGGTTCATATAATTGGGTTTTACCCAGATAAAAGTTAAAATTGGATACAAGAGATTGGAAATTTCTGAACTTTACGGAAGTTCTGTATCTCCACAAGCTAAATTAGAGATTGACGATCTTGGTCCATTAAAAAATACTCTACAATTGACGAAAAAAAAAATACTCTACAATTACATTAATTCACAAAACATGAAACGGTGGAGAAAGAAGGTTTGACTTCCATCTGTTAATAACGGCACCTCGTTCAATTGTCTAGATGTAGGCAAGTAGTGTGAAATAAGGTTATTTCCTCTGAATTTCGAGAGCGAAAGAAAAACGGGAAAAAAGCTTAAAAAATCTTCAATTATTTAATATTTACCAGTTTTCTATGTGAACTTTTTGTGTTGTCAAAAATTTACACGAACTAATTTTTTAGATTAAAAAACTACTTGAAATATTTTATAGTTTCAGTTTTCACCACATGATTTCATAGTCATTAACGATCAAACGGAATTAGTAAACTCTGTTATTTTCCAAAACAAGAAAAAACTCTTTCAACTATTTAATCTTTGCCAAAAAATACATGAACTTTTAATGTTGCCAAAAACCCACACAAGCTAATTTTTCAATGTAAAAAAACCTGAAATATTATATGGTTTCAGCTTCTACTCCACTATTCACATCCATTAATGGTTTTTCCCAGATTCATTCGCTGATGATTATTCATTTGGTATTGGTTTCGTAGACCACATTTATTCCGAAAGGCAATTTGAATATAAACTCTTAACTAATCGACTCTTTGGAACAATGATCTCAGTGGCTCATAATAGAGTAATAAATATAAATTAGTAGGTGATCAACTGAAATAAAGCATGATAGATATTTTTAATCATCTATGAAGATCATCTTAGTGGAGATTAAATCAGCCCAAAAACAAAAATGAAGCACACATCTACAGAATCTTTAGTTATAAATATATCGTAATTTCAAAAAAAAATATGTCGTAATTTATTTTGAATTCTATTGGTGATAAGTTTTTTTTAGTTGTTGTAAACTCTTTGATATGTTGGCTTTTAAGTGTCATTTAATGTTAAAAAACAAAAACCAAAATTAGCTAATGTGGATTTCTGATAACGTGAAAAGTTCAGGTATTTTTTTGGCAAAGATTAAATAGTTGAATGTTTTTTCAGCTTTTTCTTGTTTTGAAAAATAACGGAGTCTACTAATTCCGTTTGACCGTTAACGGCCGTGAAATCGTTGAGTGAAAACTGGAACTATAAAATATTTCAAGTAGTTTTTTGATCCAAATATTAAATAGTTGAGGGTTTTTTAAACTTTATTCCTAAAGAAAAACGAATTGTCAAACTGATAATTCTGTAGAGCGAGGATTGAAGGAGATATGGTGACATCAAAAACAGAAATGGCAACAATGCTCGAGAGCTTGCGACCAAGTTTCTGATTCAATCTACGAATGCCCAGGCCGTCGTCGCTACCGCCGCCGCTACCGCCGCCGTTACCGCCGTCGCTACCGCCGTTGCTACCGCCGCCGCTACCGCCGTCGCTACCGCCGCCGCTACCGCTGCCGCTACCGCTGCCGCTACCGCCGCCGCTACCGCCGCCGCTACCGCCGCCGCTACCGCCACCGTTACCGCCGCCGCTACCGCCGCCGCTACCGCCGCCGCTACCGCCACCGCTACCACCGCCGCTACCGCCACCGCTACCGCTGCCGCTACGTACCGCCGTATGGATCGTTCACGAAAGTGGCAGATAAGATGCTTCATTTTCTTACTCGGATTGATCTCTCGGATTCATGGCAGCTTTAGCTCAAAGATTCAAGGCTCCATTTTCTCCTTTCTCTTAATTGCTAACTTATCACTTTTGTATCCATTTTTAATTTTTTTTCTAAGTAATTTCTAATTAGATGAACCCTAAATCGATTTGGGAGCTTTGTAATTTTTTTGTTTACTTATTATTATTATTATTATTATTACTATTATTATTATTATTATTATTATTATTATAATTATCAATTAATCATTATTTTTATTGATTTAAACATGTTTTAAAATTATCAGAAAATTTGAATTTTTAACGGATTTTATTCTCTCAGTTAAAAAGAGTCAATTATTCCGTTTAAAAAATTGACAATGTATATTCAGAATCCAAGTTGAAGATTATTTATGTTAAGAGTTTTGAATTGAAGGTTTATAGTGTTAATATAAAACTCGGAAGGTTTAAAGTGTCATTAACTGCTATTTTTAAGGTTTTTATGCGATTTTTTCTAAATAAAAAGGTATAATAAAAAGATACAATTGTTCAAAAATTCATGAATTGTAATATTTGAATAAATTAGCAATTATAAATAAAAAAGTACAATAGAAAGACACAATAATTCAAGAATTCATTCATAGTTTTTCATTTTGTTATTATTAATAGAGAATAGATATATTGATTACAATTTAAAAAGTTTAAGTTTTATTGTCTAACAATGTCGAATAATCATTATCAAGTTTTTCAAATAAATTAAGCCTGTGATTAACTAAAATAAAATTCTGAATCCTCTTTTGACATTTTTTTATTTTTTTGACGGCTAAAATAAACATATTCATCTTTTCACTAAGTAGTAGAACATATTCAAATTCTTGAGAAACCTACATCAAAAATAAAAAAGAATTAAAAAAACTATTTAGCTGCCCAATGCACTTGAAACAACTGTATTTCAATATTAAACCCATTTCAAATCCAAGTAGAAAGATCAAACTTCAACATTATAGGACTTCATGAGTTACAGAATCCAAACATTAGATCTGTAAAAGTAAGATTAATGAAATTAATAACACAATTAAGCAAGCGAAACTGCAAAAGCAAACTACGAAAAGCACACACAAACAGAAAAAAAGGAAATGTTCAAAGCTATGAAGATTGTCCAGAATCATCATCATCAGGTCGCAAAAAACTAAGAAATTCATAATTAGTCACTACAAGAACTTTCAAGAATCTCATCTCATACGAATCTAGCAAAGAGATAACAAAAAAAAACCAAATTCAAGCCTCGACCTTCACCGAATCCACATGAGCTTCTTCCTCTTCTTTGACATCTTCAGTTGAATCGGCCTTCGCATCGGCAGCGATTGGGTTTGGAGAAGCCAAAGGACGAGTCTTCACAGAATCAAGCACAAGCTTGCTAATCTCTTTGGAATAAGCTTTAAGTATCTCAATCCCGTCATCATCACCCACCACGGCGGCGGAGGCGACGCCGTAAGCCTCCTCCTCGATGGATTTCGCAACGGATGAAGCTTCCTTGGAAGGGAAAATTTCGTACCTTTTAGAGAGGATAGATTCAGTGGATAACGACTCGATCAGGCGGTTGACTACGGCGTCGCGAGTTTTCTGAGACAGTGGCCAGATTCGGAGCGAAATGCCTCCCTGCTTCTTCTCCAGCTCATTCTCCTCCTCCTTTGAGATTTTCGTCGCCGGAAGTGTGGTGGAAGTGGTGCTGATCGTCTCGGTTTCCGCCATTTCCTGAGGTAAATTGTGGAAAGATTTTTTTAGGGATTTTGACAATTTTCCCGGTGGCAATTTTTTGGGGTGATAAAGAGTAGGGTTCGGTACGGTGTCGTTTAAGGTGTTCGGTTTAATTAACCAACCAAACGTCTTTCCTCCGAAGAGTTTATGAGAAAAGAAACCGCTAAATTAGCAAACCAAAGGTCAAAATTAACAAACCGAAGGTCAAAATTAACAAACCAAAGGTCTGATTTACAAACGAAAGGCCAAATCTATTATATTATATCTATTATATTAAAACAAAAATATTTTTAGTGCTTGCATCCAAACAATTCCAACGTTTTTTTTTAAAATAATTATTTAAAAACTGTTTTAAAATTATCCTATTTTATTGCGATATTGTTTTAAAAAATATATTTTATTTTATATATAAAACTAATTTTGAAAATTAGATATCAATTTAGATTATTATTTATTTTAATATATATTATATTTAATTTAAAATTTAAAATATTTATAAAAAATTGCAATTAAGTTTAAGTCTAAAAAGTTAGATATTAAGTTAAATTACTTTAGACTTCTTTAAATATAGTTTAGATTTAATTTAACATTTAAAATTTAAATAATAGATTAACAAATTTAAAATATTTATAAAAAATTGCAATTAAGTTTAAGTCTAAAAAGTTAGATATTAAGTTAAATTACTTTAGACTTCTTTAAATATAGTTTAGATTTAATTTAACATTTAAAATTTAAATAATAGATTAACAAATATGTTATTGCGTTTTTTTAATCATAATCAATCAGTCCAAAAATTTACATATTGAAAATTGATAAATATTTATATTATATGATAATTTGATGGGACGAGTTAGGTTTTTTTATAATTGTGTTTTATGAGGGTAAAATTGTCAAAACATGTAAGATATTAAGCTAAAAATATTTCAAAATTAGTAAATATTTTATTATATAGTAATATGAACAAATGGATTAGAATTATGGTTTTTTAACCACAGTCTTTTTCAGATTAATAGAATGAACGAATTAAAATTATATTTTTATAATAACTGTCATTTTCGGGTTATAATTATGTTTTTATGTTCGCGGTCATAATAATATTAACACCAAATTTAAATAGAAATTATATATATATATATATATATAAACAAAAATGAATCATTGTTACTTGTTATAAAACATAAAGCACTTTTAGTGTTTGTTTCCAAACATTCTCAAAGTTTTTTTTTTTAAAATATTTTATATATATATATATATATTTAATTCCGAAAATTAGATATTAATTTAGATAACTAAAAATTTCCTTAAATATAGGTTATATCTATAGTCTCTAGATATTAATTTAAATAAACTTCCTTAAATATAGGTTAGATTTAATTTAACTTTTAAAATTTAAATAAGATTTTCAGACTAACACATATAATTAACAAATATCTTATTATATTTTTTTAGTCATATTGTATCAGATAAAAATTTCACATATTGAAAATAGATAAATATTAATATTATATAATAATTTGATGGAACAAAATAAGTTTTTTTTTATAATTATAGTCTTATGCAAGTTAAGTTATTAAATCATGCAAGATATTAGAAGAAAATTATTTCAAAATTAGTAAATATTTATATTATAAAGTAATATAAACGAATGGGTTAGAATTATGGTTTCACAATCATGATTTTTTTCGGATTAACAAAATGAACGAGTTAAAAATACATTTTTATAATAATAATTACTTTTTTATTAATAAAATAACCAGGTTAAAATTATGTTTTTATAATTATGATGGTCATAATAATACTGAAAAAAAATTAAAAAAAAATTAGATCTAAACACAATTTTTTATATCACTTATTAAAAATTATATTTATAAAAAAAAATATTAAATTATAAATTTTGATTAAAACAAAATTTTTGTGCGGATGCACAGTATAAAATCTAATATTGTTTTAAAATTGAAGGGCAAAATGAGAAAAAAAAAATAAGAAAAGAAGAAATCCCGCCAACACAGAATTCGTCTGATTATTCTTCGTAACCAAAACAAAAATTCGAAACATCTCAAAATATTCGAAAAGAGAACAGAGAGCGCCAATTCAAATGTTGATTCGACAAATCTCTAAAAATGGCGCTTTGCATCTTCCTTCCCTTTTTCTCCCCTCTTCTCTCCTTCATTCTCTTCCAATCTCAATCTCAATCTCTCTCTCGTTACTTTTTTTTTCTTCCTCTCTCTCGAATCCATCGATCCAACCATGTCCGACGATAAGGAGAACTTCGTTAGGATGACGAGAGCAGCGACGAAACGAAAAGCTTCCATGGAAGCGATTATAGACGAGGAGCGTCTCAGCAAGAAAAGAGTTGTGCTCGGCGAGCTTCCGCACTTGTCCAACGTCTCGGCGACCAAAAAGCCCAGAAAAACAGTTAAGGTTCCGACGAAGGAGAAGAAGAAGAAGCCGATTTCGAATGTCACATCAACGCCAAAAGAATCAATCTCTGATATCGACACGAGATCTGATGATCCTCAGATGTGTGCTCCTTATGTTTCCGGAATCTTCGACTATCTCCGTCAATTAGAGGTAACAAAAGTTTTCTCGATCTGGGTTTCATGTATTTAGACAGAGTATTGAGTAGTTGCTGGATTCGTGCTCGTTGATTTGTAATTCGAGGATTTGAATTAGGTTTTTGGTTGAAATCTTCAGGGGAAGGAAAAGTCGAAGCCTTTAGTTGATTATATTGAGAAGGTTCAGAAAGATGTAAATCCAATTATGAGAGGAGTTTTGGTTGATTGGTTAGTGGAAGTTGCTGAAGAGTACAAGCTTCTCTCGGACACTCTTTATCTCGCTGTCTCTTACATTGACAGATTCTTGTCTATCAAGACTGTTAATAGGCAGAAGCTTCAGCTTTTGGGTGTTACTGCAATGCTTATTGCCTCGTAAGCAATCTTTAAGCCTTCCTCTTTTGTTTGTTTGAAACATCTCTTTTTTTTTTTTACCTTATGTATGGTCTCCTGTAGGAAGTATGAAGAGATAACTCCTCCAAATGTGGAAGACTTTTGTTACATCACAGACAACACTTACACAAAACAAGAGATTGTGAAGATGGAAGCTGATATACTTCTTGCCCTTGAGTTTGAATTAGGAAACCCCACCAGCAATACGTTTCTAAGGTTATAATCTTACGCTTCTTGTTGGTTGTTGACTTATAATGGTTGTGTTACTTCATTTTCTCATTTTGCTTCTGCTTGTGTTGGTTTTGTTGTGCAGACGGTTCACAAGAGTAGCACAAGAAGATTTCAAAGTAAGCTCTTGTTGAATTAAGGCATTTTTGCAATGTATTAGAGTATTGATTTACTAAGAATTTTTGTTTTTGTTTTTCAGATGTCACATTTACAATTGGAGTTTCTCTGTAGCTATCTTTCAGAGTTAACCATGTTAGAATATAATAGTGTGAAGTTTCTTCCGTCTATTGTGGCTGCTTCATCTGTGTTTCTTGCAAGATTCATCATCTGTCCAAAACAACATCCCTGGGTAAAAGCGTGGTTTCTCATTCTAAATTCTATGTACATCACTTTGTTTAAGACACTAAATCTTTTTTTCTCATTCTAAATTTTATGTACATCACTTTGTTTAAGACACTAAATCTCTTAGTTGTAATGTAACAGAGTGTAATGTTGGAAGAATACACAAATTACAAAGCGGGTGATCTGAAAGAATGTGTGGGTATGATACATGACTTGTACCTGAGCAGAAAAGGAGGAGCTTTACAAGCTGTAAGAGAGAAATACAAGCAGCATAAGGTAAACTAGTTTAGCTATTATGAAATGATTCTTGAGTTGAGATGTGAAGAACACAATGTCCTTGAGATTTACATGTTTCTCTCTTTCTCTCTGTATACAGTTCAAGTGTGTTGCGACTATGCCTGTATCGCCAGAGCTTCCTCTTACCTTTTTTGAAGATGTCAACATTTAGAGATTAAGAAGCAAGTTGTTGGTGTTTTTGGGTTGTATATGTGTTAGGACCACTTTTAATTGGGATTTGAAGATCTCAACTTATGTTTAAAGATTTTTGGTTCCATCGTTAATGGTAAACATCTAGACATGGCTTGCATTTCTCACCTACTTAATCACAGAGAATTAGCCACACAAAAAAAATGAAACAGAGGAGTTTAGGTTCATTTGTGTGAATGAAACAATACCAAAACAGAGTTTAAGATGAGTCTTCAAGATGAGTCCTTTAGAGGCTGAGAAGAATCTAAGCTAAAGTAAATGCATCAAAAAGATAGCACACCTTTTTTAGGATATTTGTTTGAATAGATCTTTTCTTTGTCTGCAGTTGAAATCCGATGAGGTGTTAAATGAGGACATGGAGATCAGATTATAGCTTAGACTTAAGAGTTGTTGAAAGACAAAAAGAACATGAACTAGTCAACTATTACAAATTAAAAATATAAAGAGTGGATTGCATGTTAGACATCAAATTAAAAGGAAGTGTAAACACTTGTCGAAAAAATGGTACAATTAGATAAGATGACAAAAAGATAAGTGATCCAAAGTACATATATTGTTTTAAAGTATCAACTCTCTTTACACATTCCAGTGTTCCGAGAATTATAAGAAAAGAAGAGAGTAAGAGATTCAGGAATCCAACCATTTTAGAATACCTTTTTAGAAAAGAATAGAAGGTTTTAACCAGTTAGAGAAGAAAGGATAGTTACCATCATGTGCTTCCACGGATAAACATGCTTTGCATTGTGGAATGAGCAGGAACAGACCGGTAGACACACCTAAGAATGTCCAACCACAGCTTGACATGGAGCAAAAAAAACAGCAGTGCTGTGAGGCTCGTGACTATAGTAAAACAGAAGATCAAGCTGTGTCTCCTTTTTTCCAGGTCTCTGCTGCATCAGAACTAGTGATGCAATGAAGGCAAGTATCATGGCGATGATCGATGTTGACTTAAGCTTGAAGTTAACTTGGTGAGCAAGTTAGATATTTCTTATTAGGATTAGAAATATGATTAGGAGTTATCTAAACATACTTAAGAGTTATCTAAGAAAAAAAAATTTGTAATTCTAATAGAAAAAATGATTTTTCCTCTATATAAGGAGATTTCAATGTGTGATATAACTTATGAGTTTGAGGATTTGAGTGTTTTAGTTTTTGAGAGAGTTTTCTAAAGCTTAATAAAGAGAATTATTCTTTATTAAATCTTTGAGTTCTTAATTATCTAACTTTGAATTCTAGAATTAGTATCAGAGCTTTATTAGAATTCAAAATCGAACATCATACAGTATCGAATCATGGGAGATATTGTGGTGCAACCGAGAATCCTAAGGAAGGAGGATGGCCTTCCTCAATCCAGTGTCCGATGCTCACCTCAACAAATTACACAGTGTGGGCAATGAGAATAAGAATTTTTCCTCAAGGTGCACAAAGTCTGGGATATCATAGAAGCAGGAACAACATATGAAAAAAAGAATACCATGGCGATTGATCTGTTGTTTCAGTCGATACCCGAGACATTGATTTTGCAAGTTGGGAAGCTAGACGCGGCGAAGCAAGTTTGGGAAGCAATCAAGTCGAGAAACATGGGAGTATAACATGTTAAAGAGGCAAGATTGCAAACCCTAATGGCAGAATTTGATCGCATTAAGATGAAGGAAACTGAAACCATCGATGACTTCTCTGGAAATTTATCTGAGATATTTTCAAAATCAGAAGCCTTAGGAGTAAAAATTGAAGAATCAAAATTGGTTAAAAAGTTTCTTAAAATTCTTCTTCAGAGAAAGTACATACACATAGTGGCGTCTCTCAAACAAGTGTTGGATCTCAACACTAGAAGCTTCGAGGACATCATAAGACGTCTTAAAGCTTAGGAAGAACGCATCTTCGAAGAAGAGGAAGAAGAAACACATGAAGATCAATCCAAACTGATGTATACAGAATCACAAAATCGAGATTTCAATGGAGAGAATAAAGGCAGGGGACGCAGAGGACGTTTCTACTCAAGAGGTAGCGGTCAAGGTCTTTCTAATGGAGGAAGAAGAGATCCATCGAGAAATATTGATCTTTCAAGGATCACTTGCTACCGATGTGACAAGCAAGGTCACTACGCCTCAAGTTGCCCGGATCGATTACTTAAGTTGCAGGAAACTCAAGAAATCAACAAGGATGAAACTGAAGATGCGCATGAGCTTCTAATGCACGAGGTGGTATACTTAAACAAGAAGAAATATATACCAAGCGAGTATGAAACAAATACTGGAGAAGAAAATATATGGTATCTTGATAATGGGGCTAGCAACCACATGACAAGAGATAAAAGATACTTTACAAAAATCGACAACTCTGTTACCAGTAAAGTTCAATGGTGATGATTCAAGAATAGATATAAAAGGAAAGGGCTCGATATCATTCATTGACAGATATGGTGATTCAAGGAATGACAAACGTCTACTACATTCCAGCTTTGAGAAGCAATATCATTAGCCTCGGACAAGCAACAGAATCTGGCTGTGATATAAAAATGAAAGTAGACTACCTAACAATGCATGATATCGACGGAAAGCTGCTTGTGAAAGCCATCAGATCACGAAATCGTTTATACAAGGTTCGAATGAGGATCACTGATAAAGTGTGTCTACATCTAACAACAATGAGTGACTCGAGTAAGTGGCATGCGAGGCTGGGGCATGTCAATATTGACACAATAAGGAACATGATGCACAAGGAACTAATAAAGGGAATACCACAAGTAAACACCAAAAAGGAAATCTGTAGTTCGTGTTTACTTGGGAAACAGACCAGACAAGTATTTCCCAGGCTACCCTGTATCGAGCATCTCACAAGTTTAAGCTCATACATGGAGATCTTTATGGGCCTATGACACCAAGCACAATGGTTGGTAATAGGTACATATTCGTTCTTATTGACGACTACTCAAGGTAAATGTGGACTATTTTGTTGAAAGAAAAGAGTGATGCATTCAAAAAATTCAAAAGCCTAGTGGAGCAAGAATCAGGAGTAAAGATTCGAATCTTCAGAACAGACAGAGGAGAAAAATTTGTGTGATGGGCTTGCGGGCCAGGGGTTTGTTTTTTTACAAGCCTATTGGTCCTCAAAAAAATTTAAATTTATAAAACCCTAGTATCTGCAAGTGCACAGATGTACGTTGTATGACTTAGGGTGTCGATCCACAGGGAGGATGTCTAATCTGCAAGAAACAACAAACTAAGAAATAAGCAAAGTCATAAACTCATGGAGTTTTTGGGGTTTTTGGTTAAGAATCCTAAACTAAACCTAATATAATATTCACAAGAAATAAAATGCAATGGATATGAATTGTTAAAAGAAAATCTTAAGCATATCGACTCAAACTATATATCTAAACTCATAGGTGGCGATTCAGACTTCTCCGGTTTACTGTAATCAATGTCAAAGCATTTTCAATTAGTCTCCAGGCGATTTATCTTCATCTGTTTATGGGATCTGCGTGGAACTAGAATAGACATGTGTATGATTAACCAACTCTCGCCATCTTAACCAACTAATCACTCAAATCTGACAATTAACTTTCGCTCTCATGCCAGAATTAAGATCATGCATTAAATATTGAATTCGTCTGCTCACATCTTCTCTACAGGTAGCACTCACTCCTATAGCGACTATGTTCTTCTGAAGCTAGGTATGGATGATCTAATACAGCACTCTCGTGGTTCTAATCGATCCTAGGCTCAGAGAATAGGTCATGAATCTACTCTCATGCAATATGAACAACTTAGAAGAGATGAGATCCAAAATATGGTCTAGAAACTTAGAAATCCTAATAAACATGTATGCCCATCAAAAACTTCTTCAAACAACTTGACTCTCTGGGACTGATCTACATGATGCAAGGAATGATAAAAGACATGAAAGAATGCAAAAGATGAAACATAAAATTTAATTAGATAGAAAGGAGAAAGGAAAATGGATTAGGGGAAGAATCCCCATCTCCATCGCCTAACCCTAGAAAAACAAAGTTTGGTGGCTCAAAAACTCATTACAGGAGCACACACCCGTTTAGGACTGCTAAGAAATGTATTTATAGGTCCTAAGGTCTTCCAGGTCTCATTTAGGGCTTCTCTGAAGAGAAATGGAATGGATTTGATGTTGGGCCTTGTGGCTCGTCATGGATCCACCGGGTGTGAGAGTCTTCCGGGGCAGGCAAAATGCACGTTTGCCGCGGGTGAGAGTCTTCCGGATCTGGTGAATTTGGTCAACTTGTTCTCCATGTATCTTTTGATTGCACATTTGGATCTTCGTGATGTAAAGTGCTATGAAAAGCTGGTTGTCTCCTCTTGATTGTCTCCAAATTTAAGCTGGATCGGACGGTGAGAAATCTTCATTTGAGGCTGAACTTCTGACGGTCTGACTCTGAGCTGAAAATGTGAATTTCTTCTATTTTGCCATCATTTTCCCTAAGTTTCCTAAAAAGAGCATTGAAACTACAAACACATAGAAAACATAATAAAAGTTCTTAAAACTGATTAAACCTTTGAAAATATATTTGAAATCAATGGTGAAAATGGGTAAAAATACGGTGTTATCATTGTGTCACAGGAACTTATGTCGCATTAAGAGACATCTTACTGCACCATACACCCCTCAGCAGAATGGGTGGTCGAAAGGCGCAATAGAAATTTGATGAAGATGGCGAGAAGCATTATGAAACATATGCGAATGCCAAATTACTTATGGGGATAAGCAATCAGACACTCCATATATCTGCTAAATCGAGTTGCTAGAAGAGCAATCAAGATTGAACCCCATATGAAGCCTTCTGAGTCAAGAAACCTAACATCAATCATCTTCGTATCTTCGGGTGTATCAGATATGCTAAAGTGGAAACACCATACCTAAAGAAACTTGATGACAGATCGAGAATGCTTGTTCATCTTGGCACTGAACCAGGATCAAAGGCATATAGGCTACTAGATCCACAAACTCAGAGAATAGTGGTGAGCCGAGATGTTGTTTTTGATGAAATAAAAGGCTGGAACTGGAACTCCAGCAGCTCAGGTCAAGGACAAGATGGAAGCTTTAAAGTCGTGTTTGGACATTTTGGAAACCATGGAATCAAAGGAACAGAGGAGTACGATGAAATAGTGCCGGAAAAGGAGAAAGAATACTCTGAAAACGAAGCAGCAGAAGAAAAGTTCATAACAACTCGCAAGCATGAAACAGAAATCACAGATGCTGCTCAAAGTTCGTCAACACCAGGTTTGAGAATATCAAGTAGACCAATTATAAGGCCAAAATATCTGGAGGATTTTGTTTGTCTCGCTGAGGAAGAAGGAGAAAGACTACTTTTGTGTTTGAATGATGAATGCTATCGGATTTTAACCATTTTTATGGATCACTTTAATATTTTTTTCAGCTGTTTTTTACTCCATTTTTAAAGGTTTTCAAAGGATTTCTATGTTTTCGGATTTTAAAAGATTTTTCGGGTAATTTGGGAGAAAGATATGCAAACTGAAACAAAAAGACTCCTTTGGATAAATTCAAACCGTCAGAACTCTCATGGAGAGACGAAGACCTTCTCACCCCCCCCCCCCAAAAAAAAAGTTTCACACTTAACAGAAGACTCAACAAGCTTTCAAATGCACTTGGTTTGGAGACATTCCAACGGTTAGATCTCAAGATATTCAATATGCACCAGAGACATTTGAAGACAGCCGGCAAGCCACGCGAACGCGGCCAACAGGCCATTCACCACGGCCAGAGCCACGCGACCGCGGCCAATCACCTATTCCCCACAGTCACGCTTCATGCGATCGTGGCCGACATCCCTACCTTAAGAAGCCCATTTCTGAAGTCTAAGTCATTTTCCAGCCTTAATTCTGGAACTTTAGAGACCTTGGAGTATTAAAAACTATAAATACTTGTCATTTAGGTCATTTTTAGATATACCTTTCATACTTTTACAGAAACCCTTTTTCTCAGCCGTTTTATGCGATTTTTAGAGAGGATTCTCCAACCTTGAGTTCATCAATAGAGAAGCTTTCTTTCATATCTTTGCTTTAATGTTTTTGATTGCTTTCATTAAAACCAATGATAATGTCGACCTCAGCCATGTCTGGGTAGCTCCCGAGTTGGGCATAGGGTTCCCGAAAGGGGCTCTCATAATCTAATAAGACATCTAGGTTTATAGATCTGGGATTTTTAACTATGTTCTCCGTTTCTTCTTATTCTTAATGCATGTATGCTTGATTGATCACCTCGTGTCTCATCTAGATAGTTATTGTTGCGAAAGTTTTCATTAAGTATCCAACCTAGAATGAAACAGACAATTTTTTTGTACGAGTGGAAACCTACCTGCGGCGAAGTCGTGAGTACTGACGAGTCCTGTACAAGCTCTAGTGTCTCCTCTCTTCTAGGGCTAGAGTGGAGACCTACTGGTTAGGGTTGCAAGAGACAGTTGGTTATGATCACGACAGTGACGTAGTCATACCGCCGTATTCGAGCTCTAGAACCCTAATATTTTGATATTCGTCAATCCCAATCTAAAATCCCTTGAAACCGATTATGATCCCTGTAGAGTTTCCGAAAGTCCAATGTTTTTAATAATTGTTTACAACTTAATCGTTTTACATTTGCTTCTTTTAGATCTGCATTTTTACTTGCTTTAGTTCGAATTCCTGCTTGCTTAAATTGCTTTCATTCGATTTTCAACTTGCTTTTTAGGATAGATTTATTTGCTTTCTTTATTTTTAGTTTAATTTGTGACAAACACCAACCCCTTAAAACTGATTTAGTCTAAACATAAACTTAGAAACCGTAGAAAAATAATACGCACACAAATCCTTGCGGATTCGATCCCTAAGTACTACGACTGATTAGCTGTGCACTTGCGGCTTTCATTTGTTTTTATTAGGGTAAAACTTGTTCCCTCACCTTGCAGCACATCAATGAACTAAGAAACTTTGCGGAAGCAAAGGAATCAAAAGAATGGATGATGGCTTGTGAAGATGAGATATGTTTGATCAAAAGGAATCAAACTTGGAGTCTTGTGGATCTACCAGCTGGAGCAAAACCAATCGGCTTGAAGTGGGTGTTTAAACTCAAACGTAACTCTGATGGAAGCATCAATAAGCACAAAGCTCGATTAGTTGCTAAAGGATATGTGCAGAGATATGGAGTACATTTTGATGAAGTATTTGCTAAAGTAGCTTGACTTGAAACAGTGTGACTTCTTATCAGTCTTGCAGAATCCAAACAGTGGGAGATACATCATCTTGATGTAAAGACAGCTTCTCTTATGGAGAATTGAAGGAAACAGTTTTTGTTACTCAACCAGAGGGATTTAAAGAAAAAGGATGCGAAAGCAAAGTTATAAACTTCACAACGCCTTGTATGGTTTAAGGCAAGCATCAAGGACATGGAATAACAAGTTGAACCAGATTCTGTTAGAACTACAGTTCAAAAAATGTTCTAAGGAGCCGTTGGTTTATAAGAAAATAGTAAACAAAGATCTTCTCTCGGTAGCTGTTTATGTTGATGACTTGTTTGTCATAGGTACAAACATAAAAGTCATTGACGAGTTCAAGAGAAAGATGGCATCTAAATTTATATGAGTGATTTGGGAAAGCTAACATACTATCTTGGAATTGAATCATGTCAGCGTATGGATGGAATAACTTTGACCCAGAAGCGATATGCTCTGAAGATTTTGGAGGAAGCTGGAATGGAAAGCTGCAATTCCACTCAGACACCAATGGAGGTCGGACTACAATTGTCAAAAGCTGAAGGCGAGAAGGAAATAGATGCTAATAGGTACAGGAAAAAATGTTGGTTGTCTTTGGTACCTATTCCATACAAGACCAGACTTGTCTTTTTGTGTTGGAGTATTAAGCATGTTTGTGCAAAGTCCAAGAGAATCTCATGGAGCTGCTATGAAACATTGTTTGAGGTATCTGCGAGGAACCACTACCCTTGGTCTGGTGTTCGAGTACTCTGCCTCAAATATACCAAGGTTAATAGGTTATAGTGACAGTAGTCATAATGTTGACCTAGATGATGGCAAAAGCACAACTGGTATGTATTCTATCTTGGTGAAAGTCCAGTCTCCTGGTGTTCGCAGAAGCAAGACAATGTGGCATTGTCATTTTGTGAAGCTGAGTTTATGGAGGATACTGAAGCAGCAAGGCAGGCGATTTGGCTTCAGGATTTACTTAGTGAAGTCACTATATTACTTTGTGAAAAGGTTGTCATAAGAATTGACAATCAATCGGCAATTGTTCTTACCAAGAATCCAGTCTTTCATGGCAGAAGTAAACATATTCATAGAAGATATCACTTCATTAGAGAATGTGTTGAAAATGAACAAGTTGAAGTGCAACATGTTCCCGGAGACTGAGCAAAGAGCAGACATCTTGATAAAGGCCCTTGGAAAGATCAAGTTCAAAGAGAAGAGAGATCTCATTGGTGTTCAAGACTTAGAATTTGATGACTTCAAGTTTAAGGAGGAGAGAGTTGACTAAACTTGAAGTTAACTTGGTGAGCAAGTTAGGTATTTCTTATTAAGATTAGACATATGTTTAGGAGTTATCTAAACATACTTAGAAGTTATCTAAGAAAAAAGAAATTTGTAATTCTAATAGGAAAATGATTTGTCCTCTATATAAGGAGATGTCAATGTGTGACATAACTTATGAGTTTTAAGGATTTGAGTGCTTTAGTTTTTGAGAGAGTTTTCTAAAGCTTAATAAAGAGAGTTATTGTTTGTTAAATCTTTGAGTTCTTAACTATCTAACTTTGAATTCTAGAATCAACACAAACAGTGTCATGAGTCCAATCACAAGCTTTGTTGGTAAGCTTCTCATGAAGTCATCTTCTTGAAACCTGGAAGTCAGGATGGAGAGGAAGAAGATCACAGAAAAGAATTAGAAGTAATAACCAACCATAGAGGAGATGGTGAACACGTGAAAACCAGGCCTTTGCGTTTGATATATGGTAGGAGTTCAAGATCGTTTCTTAACTGAGAATGTTCCACGAGTTCACGAACTGAAGACATCTCTTGCGAGTTTCAAAGAAGAAAGACAGTCGGATGAAGACTACTTTGAAAAATTGGAGCCGATGTCGGATAATATGCTTGAGAGCGAGACTCTCCAAATGCTATTGTGGCAAATCTGTCTTAGTGGGCTAACTAAGAATGTTCTAAGGGTTAGTGGGCTATGTAGGTTATATATCCATACTTGCTGTTAAGCATACAAAGTATTATAACTTATATTTATATAATAAATAATTATATTTAGTGGGCTATGTAGGTTATATATCATCCATACTTGCTATTAAGCATACAAAGTATTATCACTTTTATATAATAAATAATTATATTTTATATAATAAATAATTATATAAGTGTTTTTAATCTCAGTCTAATAAAAATGAGCCCAATAAACTGATGATAATAGTCTAAAAGATTTGATGGAGTTAAAGAAACCAAACAGAGGCTAGTGAGCAAACAAAGTGATAAGCCGAGCTGAAAGGTCCATGTGAGTGAAAGTCTACGGTCAAAAAGATTACCGTTAATCAACCCTTATGAGACTAAAAAACTTATTCAAATGGGTGATCAAGGTGCTTGAACAACACCCGGAACCTTGGAATTAAATATTAAACATGATATCAAAGTACAAAACAAAGAAAAGAGCAAGCAGTAAGGGACCAAAATCCAACTCTCTACACCATTATCTACTATAATTTAGCTCTAGACTCAAACACTTGCTATTTCAATTTTCTTATTCTTGTAAAATTGTTCTTTAGAATCAAAATACTAAAGGTCAAATGAAATTAAAGATTCATTCAAACCGGTGAATTAACGTGTCTAAACATAACAGCCGAAATGTTATAATTAATTTAAGACCATTTATGGCGGATTAAGCAGAGTAAACAGTAACGTTAAACATAATCTTGGAGTCTACTCTAATAAAAGTAGAAGTTTGAGACTCCTCACTCTCTCCACATCAGCAATTTTAGGAGCTCTATCTCTCTGCCACATCATCAAACGCACGCGCCATCAAAAATTTTAGGAGTTCTACGCTACGAAATTCTTATGTTTCCAAAAGTTGTCCACCCCATCAAAGAAAGCCCTCTAAAACATTGTCACGTGATTAAGCCAAAACTCAATTGTCTAAGCTCAGTTACGATACTCTTCTCATCTCTCCCCACTTCTCTAGCTCTAAATTCTTCTCATCTCTCCCACCTTTCTCGCACATTAAATTAGCCACTAATTCTGCGTATCTAGCTTCATCTTCTCCACGTTTGTGGTATCATCCTCCCAAATCACCTTGAAACCACCAAGCTCTAAAACAGAAAAGGAAAGTCAAATCATCCTCTCAAATCATCGTTCTCCATGTTGCTCTCAGAAACGAAATCGAAATTTCTCTGAAAAAAGATGAGTAATCGGTGAGATAGCCAAATTAACGACATAGCCAGATCAACAACATTTCTGGCAGCGGATTGTTCTACACAGATTATTCGTATATGAGAGAGTAGGCAACCAAACGCTACAAAAATATATTGGCTAAAAGCAGTGGCAGAGGCAAGAAATATACATTATTTACATGGGTCAGATAAGTCAATTTACGTTTTTGGACATGGGTCAATTAAAAAAAATTAACAAAAATTCAATTATTTTGAGAATTTCACATGGGTCAATTGACGACCCTGATAACATGCTAGCTTAGCCACTGGCTAAAAGGTGTTGGTATTTTCTCTCTTCTGGATAAATCACTTAGGTTACATATAGTCACATTCACATTTACGCTTCCATCTGCATTCATCATGCTACTGTCGTAAATAGAGTTTTAAGCCTTTTAGTCTTACATGTTTCTCTCCTATTTCTGACTTCCTTGAAATAAATTTCCCCCGCTTATTTGTCTACATGGCTTACATTTGCGTGCCAATACAAATTTCAGATTAATGTCAAATTTATTCTACCCTATGTTCTTGATTATGTCATGTATATTGAAAAAAATGCAAAATTTCTTTGATCTATCAAGTCATCTAAACGCCCTTATGATATTTATGCACTACGAATGTTGTGCCAAAACAGTTACGTTGATGTCTTAAGGACTTCGAAGGTAGGGCACCTAATTTTCCTTTCTTCACATATTTAAATTCTCATAAGAAACTTAAGAGATATGTTCACTAAGAGTCAACACATATATGTTATCAAGGTTTGGTATATTACTAAACAAATATAATGAGTTTCCTCTGCGGTCACAGATAAGATCAAACTGGCAAGTATGTTTGATGGTTAGGTAATATTAGCTGATTGGAAATATTACGAATATGATAGGCGTGGAGGTTTAGATTGTAAAAGGAATAAAGTGGTGTGGTGATTGGAAAACCTGTTAAGGTGTTGCAAATATATTAGAGGAAGAACGATCCACATTTGCTTCTGATTTATTTGTCGGTTTATATTGAAGATTTCAACTTTTTGGAGATTGATGTTAGTAAACTTATAGATTCTATCAATGTAAATCCTTTTAATATTGTTAGAATTAATTCTAATTAATGATTCGATCCTCGGATTCAAACCTTTGTCATGATTTCATTATATCAGTTTTTCCAGTTCTTCATGCTATATCTTCCAAACTTGAGCAAGTGTGGTTTCACGGCTGAAAATGATTTCTACAGTTGGAATATATAATGAATTTGGACAATAAATGTATTGACATTTTACTTCCCTCATCTTTTCTCTAAACTTTGTTTTGAAAATTAAGAATTATAGAAATTCATTTTGTTGATTTCTAATTATTTTCTCTAGAAACAAGGAATTATTAGGGAAACGAATTCTAGCATTTCTCTTTCAAAGAATGACGAAAATTTTGTTGTACAAGTCGAACAAGTATGTCACAGTTTTAGTTGGTTTGATCCAATTTACTTTGTGTGTTTTTTTTTGTTTTTTTTTTAATTTTTTTTTAAAGCTGGTATGCTTTTGGTTTTGTTCAAAAAATTTACACTGCAGCAGCAATTCTGATACATTGAGTCCAACTTGAAAGCCTTCAATTATAATGCAGAGGCTTGGAAAAGAAATGAATGAATTGGGAAAGTGCAAATGTGGAAGATAAAGCCATGGGGAATGTCCTAACCTCCGTACAAATGCGGAAGACAGGTTTGGTTGAACTTAGAGTTTATGCCCTTATGGCTTATGGTACTAACAAATGGCACAATAATGAATAAACTACCATTTTCTCTCATGGAATGATATCAATTAGAAAAGAAACTCGCGCTCAAGAGTCGCTTTTTGTAATACTCAGTCAAAGTTATCCAAGTATCCCAAAATTTTCAAAGGAGAGGAGAGAAGTATATAAAAGATTAACTTCTTATATATATATATATATATATTATGTTTTTATTGTATAGAAATTTTCATGTTAAAGTTGGTAATGAAAACTCCCTAAACAATAACAAAAGAATAATATATAAAATGTGTAACACGCCCTGCGCGTAGGGCAGGATAATACCTAGTATAAAACAAAGACAAAAACACGAAGCAAGGGACCAACTCTCTACACCACTCTCTACTACGATTTAGCTTTAAGCTCAAACACTTACTATTTCTTGGTTCTTTTTCTTGTAAAGTAACTCTTGAGAATCAAAGTACTAAAGCTCGTTTACTCTGCAAAAATCTTGTCCAAATTGCCTACGAATCCTGCTTGTTCCCATCAAAAACAAACTTACTAATTATTGCTTGATAGTCCCTCAATTCTTACTCTTTAAATATAAGTCAAAATTCCCTGTTGCTATTGACAAGTTTGATCATAATATTTCTAGTTACAAAATAACTTAGAGCGTAAAAACATAGTATTTTAATTCTCTATGAAATATATATTTAAAAAAATTTCGTGGTTAATGGGCATGTGACGTGTATCAAAATTCATTTAAAGATAAAGAAATTTTGTATATAGAATAAATTTTAGAGATAACAAAACAAATTTAAGAAACATACTAGTTAATTTTCCCGCGTCTTGCGTGGACTAATATAATTTCTATTTGATTGTTTGAAAATCTAATAGTAATTTGTATTCATTAGTTTTTTTTTTTTAGTATATTTGTTTGTTAGATTTCCTTGCAATTTAATGTTGAAAGACATGATCGTGAAAACATTATAAACCAGAAGAGAGTAAATAACAACATAGTAGTATCCAAATAATTTTGTTTAAATAATTTTGAGATCTTTTGATCACTGTTTTATGTATTTTAGACATAATTTTTTGAAATACTGTATGAACTTATTCGATTTTGATTACTGTTTTATATGTTTTAAACATCACAAATAACGTCATTCCATTAGTTAGATATATATATATATATATATTTTAAACTTTTTTGTTAGAATTTTTTTTATAAATTTCAGTTTTTTTTTTAAAAAAACAACATTTCATTAGTTTTAAATAGATTCTATTTTTTGTTATTTTTTATATTTTTGTTAATTTTTTTCTAAATTTTGGAAACATAAAAAATGGTAAACACT